CCATTGCAACCACTCCAAAAAACGCAACTCCAACCAGCTTTCGGTTCATCAGTGGATTCGCTCTGCCATCCATGCATCACAACAACTCACCTCTCCTATAGGTTTCCAATTTTCGAAACTTCCGCCACTGCCTTGTGCGGTACTACTGGTATTAAGGTTTTCATTGGAATATGATGGGAAAGCTTCGAAATCCAGTTTTGGGCAATATTTAAAAAATATTTTAGTAAGCAATCTAATCAAATTTAATTTAGTTTTTTTAAATTAGGGTTTTGTTGGAAAATTAGGGGCACCCTAGTACAAAATTCCACCTAATAATAAAAATAAATCACCGTGTTTACCATTTGGGGGTGTTTTAGTAATTAATGGGGAGAGAGGATTAGTTGCCAGGGCGTTTCCCTGAAAGATCTGAGAGGCTTCCTGCTGGATTTTGAGCAAGTGACGTTTTCAAGCTCAGCATTCAGCCTTGGCAGGTCCAAGGGGCAGCTCAAACAACAGGATGGTGGTGACACATGTCGGAAGTTATTCGTAATGTGCAAGTGCCACAGTGTGCCTCGCACTTTGGGACACGCCGGTATACGCTGATGTAACGAGGCTAGGCATCCCCATTCCATCCCATCCCATCCATGCAGCTGCAACATGTTCTTCGCCAAGCGACCAACCTTTTGGATGCCCCTGGGGATGTTGCTGCTTCGGGGTGATACTGAGAGGCCTGCCCTGAATGGGGATTTCTTTTAAAACACTGATCCATATGAAGATCAGGCTTGACAAAACTCGAGACATAAACAAAGGAATTTAGCCTATAGTTAATCTTGCCCCTGGCTCAAAAAAATGTCGAAGCCTAAATGTTTTCGATATTGTTCCCAAACTTTGTGCCGACACCCTACCACCATGGCATGAGAAATCCCAGCAAGCCTTCCGCCAAAAACGCCTCGGCAAACATTTCGTGTATGAGGGTGAGCCAGCAAGCCGTAGCAATCTGTTGGGAGCACACTATGTGAAGCTAGGATATAGAGAAGCTATGGTGGCCATATATTTTTGTGATGTTGTCTGGTTCTTTGAACGTCATGTTGCATGTGCAAACCATCAAGGTAAATTTCCCCAGGAAGCCGCTGCAATTCTCGGGTGGCAAATCGATGCAAATCGTGCGCCAAGGTGCGAGTGGCCATGGTGTCCAAGACATCTCGGTGCTGAGAGAGGTTTGGCTTCAGGAGCCTATATGATGACAAAAACTTAAATATTCCAAGACTAGCATATGACACACATGACATTTGTTGTCAATCATGCGGCAATCCCGTTGAAGCTTTCTTCTACTATCTTGTGCTATTGCAGGCTCACCGCCATTTGGAAACTCGATGAGCTGGGCTAAATTGGAACTGGGAACATGCAAGTGGTCGGAATTGGTTGGATCTATGCCTATACTTTAGTGGCTTCTTGGTGACGCAAGGGCAACTATAGATTTGTGGCCTCATGGCCTCATGGCCCATCTTCCCCACTGCAAATGGCATGTCCAGTGGCCATGGGAGGGGTCACAACTAAGTCCGACGGGTTGCGACCGGGGGCTGCAAGAGGAGCTTAAATATACTAAATACATCTTGTATCATCTTATAATGCCTATGCACGGTTCACTGTGGTTATCTGTGATTGCCTTATCATTGCCTACACCTGAAAGACATGAAAAGACCATAATTTGTTAATTTGCGAGAAATCTGTAATACACTTGTCGGAACTGCACAATCGGGTCTACATTCTTGATCCCGTACCTTTTCATCACGTCTTTCACCAACCAGGGCTGCAAGAAGGCATCGGCAGCCCCGCTGCTTGACAAGTCTTATTGGAACATATTGAAACCAATGGCGGTCGGTCTGGCAAACATGCTAAACACAGCGCATCAAGGATCATAAAGGCATAAAGGTCCAAGATTCTGAAAGCATCATAAGCATCAGCATTATGAAATTGGGAGGTTTGTTTGGAGATTCGAAGTGTTCTCATTCAAAACAAATGCCAAGCAGTTTGCCAGCAGCGCCGCAAAAAAAGTCCATGCATTCAAATGTAAAATGACATGGACATATCGCAGTATGAATGGACATCGCAAGGCTTCAGTGGTTTGGTACAAGTGTAAGAAAACACTTTTCAGCTGGCCCGCTGCGTCACAATTAGCGCTCAACGGCGCGACATGGCGCAACGCAAGTTACTGCATCAGGTCTTTCAGTTTTAACGTTTCCCTCACCAAGTCAGAGTCGTTTCCTCAGAGGAAGCGAAGCGCAGGCGGTGCTTGTGGCTATGGATGGGTGGATGTGGTGGTCCCTCTATGCAGGAGATATTCCACATGGATGCCTCTCAATCCCCAGTGCCATCCGGACAGTTTTTCCCGACAGAAGCAGTGCAAGTATTTGGCTCATGAAGTGGTTCTTGCCTTGTTTCATTGTTTCCCTGAATATTTCGGAATTGTGAGACATATCACACACTTAAATCCCACTATATACATTTACTTGCAAACAGTAAATTACCATTATTTCAGTGGGACTTAGCTGCGTCATCTTTTTTGGCTGCCGTCATCGCTATACCCTTTATACAGCACTGCACAGTTCAGTGCCAAGTCTCCATCCACTTTGAGCACTTCGCCCTCTGCTCCAAAGGTGAGCTCCTGACCAGTGCCCTTGCAGCCCACATGCGAAAGGTCGCAAAAATGCGACTTCAGTAGCGGTTTCGCCCCAGGTTTCCAGCTGGGTACCTGGAAAATTTTGCGAATGAAAATGGAGATGGTCACCCTGGGCATAAGAAAGCTGGGATCCTTAGTTGATACAACAAAAAGATTGTACTCATTTTTCACTGCCATCAGTGAAACTTTAAAATGCATCATTGTCTGTGATTAGTTAAAAGTCTGCATCTGCACTGTGCACCTTGTCGATTGATGTTCAGGCGACATGCTTGGCAAATATCGTCCACTTGTATGCGTCATCAGCCAAACAGGTTTGCTTTGAACGACCCACACGAACAAACGAACAGTGGCAACAGTGCTGCATCATCGAGCCACCGAGAGAGACACGCAATACTTTGCAAACAAACCAAACATGGCACTGCGCAGACTGCTGCCGCTGTTGCCATGAACCCCTCCAGCTGGAGCTCCAAAATGCTCCAAGGGGCATGATACAAGGCCCACTCAAAGAAGTCATCTTCGCTTTCCCTCTCAAGCCTCGATTTTCCAGGCCGTGCTGAGTTTGCAGCCTGTGTAGCTTATGGCAGATGTTCATAGAAATCTTCCGCTTGAAAAGGTTTGAACATGATTGAACACCCAAAGAAAACATCACCAAATAGAGAAAAAAAGGTTACGGCGCCTGTAGAAGTGCGGCGCTTTCAGCGTTTCTGAAAGTGGACAACCGTCACTTTTTTTCATCTTCATGCGAGACGCCATCGTCCAACCCTGTTGCTGTGCTTTTTACAAAGTTTTTCTAACTGATCCCATATAGGGAGTAGCCAGGAGCTAACACTTCGTGCAACCATTGGAATATTAGGCAGTGTTTCATCAAGGCAGCTGTTGTTCCATGATGTTCCATGTGCATTTAATTTCCTTGAAGAGAGAGTACGTGGGATGTATGATTTCAGGAAGATGTTACACAACGCATCAGGAATGTCTTGCAAGTTACTTGAAGAAGATGTTACAACGTCAGGAACGTCTTGCAAGTTACTTACAGAAGATGTTACAACGTAGCAAGAAATCGTTATTGACAACGCAGACCACAGGATGCTATTACATCTCCCCCAACCCCCCCAAAAAAAAAAAATGTGCAAAAGTGACAACAGTCCCGCCCTTGCATGGGCGCCGTCACCTAAAACATTGTATATCCGCCGACCCCTGCCTTGGCCAAGGCAGGGGCGGCGCCTGGGACCACCGGAGGTGTGGAACCTGCTTTTTCACGGCCATGGCCCTCCCCTTGTCCAAGGTCGTTCCACTAACAATTGCTTGTCTGTGTTTATGCGGTTTACCAAACCTCAAAGGCGTCAACCGCTCCGCGATAGCTCCTCCGCGGGAGCTCTCACGAACCACTCAAGCCACAGCATTCTGCTTTTCAGAGCGTTTGCCATTTGCCCGGCCTGACACCTTCCCCCGGGCTCGAAACCCTTCAAACCCTACCGCAAGCCTGTCCAAGGCAACTCTCGCAGCTGCACGCCACGGCCATCCGTTTTTAAGGGCGTTCAAGCCTGCCGTTTGCCGGGCCCCAAACCCTTCAAACCCTTCCGCAAGCCTCTCCAAGGCAACTCTCGCAGCTACACGCCACGGCCATCTGTTTTTAAGGGCGTTCAAGCCTGCCGTTTGCCGGGCCCCAAACCCTTCAAACCCTCCCGCAGGCTTTTTGAAGGCAACTCTCGCAGCTACACGCCACGGCCATCTGTTTTTAAGGGCGTTCAAGCCTGCCGTTTGCCGGGCCCCAAACCCTTCAAACCCTCCGCAAGCCTTTCGAAGGCAACTCTCGCAGCTACACGCCACGGCCATCTGTGTTTGAGGGTGTTCAAGCCTGCCGTTTGCCGGCCTCCAAACCCTTCAAACCCTTCCGCAGGCGTTTCCAAGGCAACTCTCGCAGCTACACGCCACGGCCATCCGTTTTTAAGGGCGTTCAAGCCTGCCGTTTGCCGGGCCCCAAACCCTTCAAACCCTCCGCAAGCCTTTCGAAGGCAACTCTCGCAGCTACACGCCACGGCCATCTGTGTTTGAGGGTGTTCAAGCCTGCCGTTTGCCGGCCTCCAAACCCTTCAAACCCTTCCGCAGGCGTTTCCAAGGCAACTCTCGCAGCTACACGCCACGGCCATCTGTTTTTGAGGGCGTTCAAGCCTGCCGTTTGCCGGGCCCCAAACCCTTCAAACCCTTCCGCAGGCCTTTCCAAGGCAACTCTCGCAACTACACGTTCAGAAAGCTGGTAACTCTAAATCGAAATGATGCCCCTCCTGGGCCGTACTATGCTTACATAGTTGAGCCCGAGCAGACCAACATGGTTGGGTGGGGTGACTGTGCCGGTCTCTCTGCCGGACCCCTCCTAAGAAGGAGGGTCGGCGGCACCAGGGCGCTAGCCCATTCTATAAAACTAAGTGGGGACGGCATCAAAACGATCAGAACAGGCACGGCCCCAAGCCCTTCTGCGACAAGCTGCGCAATTTTCACAATGACCTGAGCTGCAACTTTCTCAACATACTTGCCCCAAAATGCCACATGTCCAGATGACGTTAGGATGAAATGTATAGGCACCCCGTCAATCCAACCCAATATGTGAGCCAGTCCCTGACCAAACTCAGGAATTACGTAAGTTCAGTATCAGTTCAGTACCATGGACCTACCTTAATGGCTCGTGAGTGGAGCTGTCAGGTCAAACAGCAAGCTCCTCCTTGCAGCCAACTGGCAAAATCCCCTTGTGTTTTCGTAGCACCGGGCATTGGATGATTCAAACCTCCTGCGAAATCCTTCACCTCGGCTCTAGTGGAAACCACTTGAGTTGCAATGCAGGTTCAGACTAAGAGGGTGACAAATGTTGAAAATCAAAAAACTCGGCTCCCGATCTGTGGCCATCACCTCCAAATCTCACTTTACTGGGTAGGAAAAGGATGGAAAAGGGTGAAGAAAATAAAACACCTATTCCAGTTGTCTGTGCTGTCAGAATGGTTACAGTGTTTCGTGGGAAGATTTATGAATGATTCTAGCCTGCCCTGCCAGCAAACGCGAAACCAAACCAACGCAATAGTTTCAGTAGCCATCAAGACATTGAACATGCCTTCTGGTGGCACCAAACACACCCAGAAACCCTTTCCCGCTAAAGCGTTCTTTTTTTTGCCAGGTTTCAATCTCAAGCAGCTTTTCATCGGACATCTGTTCTGATCGCTGGAAGCTAAGTTCCTCTACTCTCGGTTGCTTGGAATCAATGCATCCCATGGGTATGATCGCATTCAGGACTGAGCCAAAGGTTTCAGGGCAGCGATTGGGTTGAACCCTTCGGGAATGAAGCATCTAATTTCATCTAATTTCATGATTTGGCATGCGCCAATCCCCGTTTTGATCCAATGTCAGTCCAAGCTTGGAGGGTCGTTGCAGTGTCCTATCCCATCCCGAATCCAGAAAATGGGCTCAGCATGGCCCAGCGAGCTGCGGAACAGCCCTCCCATCCTTTTTGCAAATTGCACCGGCTTCGGTGTTGCATGGCGTTCGAGTTGCATGACACCGGACCCATTGTAAAAACGGCCAGGATCTTTCACCAAACACCACAATCCCCACACAATTTGCGCCAAACTTGCATGTATAGACACTATGACAACACTATGCCCTCTCATGATTATCTCAAAAAACATATCACACTTCAGCTGTCACACTGCACACTTGTGGTTATCGTTACTGTGACCATCTATACCAGGAACCTGCGGCACAACCCTCACGAAGGGACAAAATGGATTGCCTGTGACGCGCATGCCATCAGCCAAAAAATCGCTGGTCCAGTGTCACACCTGAACCTCCCAAGGCACTTGCTCACTGGAGGCTTTGATCATCGCATCAGTGGAGCTCTGGGCGCGCATGTGTTTGCCAACCCATGGGACAGAATGGCCAGTTGTTTATATTCAATATGCTGAGTATGTATATATACTGTATACCGTATATACATATTGATTGATAAAGTTGGCTCTGAGAGGACTGAGATTTCGACGTTGGGCATTCATGAGAGGGCATCTCTGCTTAGACATGCACATACATTCACAAACAAAAATGATCATAAATATACGTACATGGAAAGGATATATATATATATATATATATTATATATACATATATATATATATATCTCTCTCTCAATGTTATAATGATTCATAATGTGTCAAAGCTATCTAGAACTATCTTGATATATCCGGATAGTATTGGATAGCATGATGATGTATGATGATGTCTCATGCATTGGCCCAAATCTTGGCCTCCCTTTGGAAACAGAGCATCACTGGCCCGGCGTATTGGGAAGCTCCACCTTGATGGCAGCCTGTTACACGGTCGTGGTGAAAATTGTGTCAGCTGCGCTGCGCATATAAAAAGCTCTACAGTCAAACCCTGGAAGGATGGCATCAGTCAAGGAAGATCAAGGAAGTACCTGATGCCGTATTGTTTTGAGCGATATGGAACATATATGGGGCACAATGCAGCATAGGTACTGTACTCCATTAGAACCAATTTTAGAAAGAATGGACCTTGTGTGAACAGCTTGAGCGACTTTGACACTCTATATACTTCTACTGATAATCTCGGTGAGGCGAACGCAATTGCGCGGCCACTTCATGCCTTGTGAAACAGAAACATGATGAAACATGATTTCTTCAAGTGCCATAAGTGGGGTTGATAACTTGATAAGCATAGTTCAAACACGTGTTGTTGAAACCCATTGATGGGATAATCCACATGGGGAAAGATCACGTCGTGAACTCAGTGAACTAAGGCACGAATTGGGCGGCATGTTCTATGCCTTCAACCTCTGCACCGGGGCCCTTTGGCCCCAATTCGAAGGGAAGTCCGGGGCAGCTGGGGCAAGGGATTCAAGGGGGCGAAGCGAAAAATCTTGGTTTTTCCTAACATGAACAAAGAAAATATGCAACTGCTGAGCGCATGGGAAGACAAGGAGGATGGCATTGGATAGCTAGTGAATCATAGTGACATGATATGACATGATATAATGCCCACTAGAGGTTTGATCGAACCAACGACTAATCCCTTCTTCCGAAAACTAAAATTCCCCCAATTGAAGAAAATATCATTGGTGTGGCACTTCCGTTTTTTTTGGTTGGGTACAATTGGATTCTGAATTGTGGTAATTGAGAATCAATAGGAGAACAGGATGGTGAAACAATGGGTTCAACCCCCTATTAATAAAAATAGATTGCAACCTGGAGGTTTTTTTTACTAGGGTCCCATCTCACAAGTTCTATTTTTATTTATATAAAATTATTACCATGAAGGTTTTCATTGAATATGAAGGGAAAGCCTCGAAATCCAGTTTTGGTAGCAATATTTCAAAGAGACAAAAAATAAGGGAGCTAATCAAATTTGAAATCGCGTCTTTTTAATTATTAAGGCTAGGGTTTTTATCGGAAAATTAGGGGCACCTTAATACAAAATACCACCTAATAATAAAAATAGATCAAATTTAACATTTTGGGGGGTTTTAGTAATTAATGGAGAGAGAGGATTAGTTGCCGGGATGTTTCCCTGAAAGATCTGAAAGGCTTCCTGCAATTTCCTGCTGGATTTTGAGAAAGTCACGTTTTCAAGCTCAGCATTCAGCCTTGGCAGGTCCAAGGGGCAGCTCAAACAACAGGATGGTGGTGACGCATGTCGGAAGTTATTCGTAACGTGCAAGTGCCACGGTGTGCCTCGCACTTTGGGACACGCCGGTATACACTGATGTAACGAGGCTAGGCCGCTAGGCATCCCCATTCCATCCCATCCCATCCATGCAGCTGCAACATGTTCTTCGCCAAGCGACCAACCTTTTGGATGCCCCTGGGGATGAGCAACATTTTCATGGAAGGTGGAAAGTTCTCTTTGCTGCTTCGGGGTGATACTGAGAGGCCTGCCCTGAATGGGGATTTCTTTTAAGACACTGATCCATTTGAAGATCAGGCTTGACAAAACTCGAGACATAAACAAAGGAATTTAGCCTATTAATCATGCCCCTGGCGCAAAAAAAACGTCGAAGCCTACATGTTTTCGATATTGTTCCCAAACTTTGTGCCGACACCCTACCACCATGGCATGAGAAATCCCAGCAAGCCTTCCGCCAAAAACGCCTCGGCAAACATTTCGTGTATGAGGGTGAGCCAGCAAGCCGTAGCAATCTGTTGGGAGCACACTATGTGAAGCTAGGATATAGAGAAGCTATGGTGGCCATATATTTTTGTGATGTTGTCTGGTTCTTTGAACGTCATGTTGCATGTGCAAACCACCAAGGTAAACTTCCCCAGGAAGCCGCTGCAATTCTCGGGTGGCAAATCGATGCAAATCGTGCGCCAAGGTGCGAGTGGCCATGGTGTCCAAGACATCTCGGTGCTGAGAGAGGTTTGGCTTCAGGAGCCTGTACTTCCTCGCTGGGAGGTGAGATGTGGACCTCACTTTGATCCTGGTTTTTACACAAGGCATATCTAAAGATTGTTTACACCTTTTATATCCTTTTATATACTTTTATAAATATCCTTTTATATCCTTTTATCACCTCTCTTGGATGGAGTGTGCTCTGGGGCCGGTCAATGCCTACTGAAATGTTGCAACTTGCCCTGGTGTCGCTGCCAGCCAGTAATGATCAAAGGTTCTCATTGAAGACCCCAAAGTGCACGCAATGAATGTATCCTTAGAAGCAACATGACGCCAAGCAAAATGGTGCAAAATACCAAAGTGCCGCGGCAATCACAAGCAACTGAATCTGACGATGTTAAAAGTGCAGGTTGAGGACAATGCTTCATTCAATGACACGGTCCAACCCAGTGCAATGCAGGGAGAGTCATGCACAGAATCCGCATCCGACAACATTCTTTGCATGACTCTCGCAAACCCTGACGAATCGAGCAGATGTTTAACTGTTTGTCGCACAAAGATCCAATCTACAAATCAATCAACGTCAAGTTAAACGACTTTCAGCTGGGACCCGGTGTGTTCCATTGTTTTGTTCGGACTAACTGCCCTAGCTTTGGCAATCTGAATCCACCCAGTTGCCCACCAAAATGGCCAACACGGAGAAGACTACGCACCTTGGAGGAGCACTGTCCATGACATGCCAGGACCCTGTGAGGAAAAGGTGACCCGGAACAGCATTGTACAACACTTTGTCATGCTATCCCTGCTATCCCTTTCCACCACTGAAATAAACCCACTTCGCTGTCAATGTGTCCCATCAAGATCCATCAAGTCCAAAATCTCCTCCCCACGTACAAAGACTGCAACAACCTGGGCTGCCGACGTACCGATGCCCATGACACGTGCATGCCAGGGCGGGTGATTTCTCTCTGGATCTGGAAAGTCGTAGTTATCCTGAGTGTTCGTAGAGGATGCGTCTTCCTTGATGAACCTTGCAAGCTGCGATAATATAATTGCTCAGAGATAGACAAAGTCAATTGTGTTCGACATGTCTTCGACATGTCTTCGACATGCATCTTTGCTTGCCACAATGGGAGTTGCAGCAGCAGTTAGTTGAAGATTGCAATTGTTTTAACGCACGTGGACACCAAAACAGCCCAACGCATCCCAGCGCAACAACAAATTCCCTGAACACAAATGGGAACGATGCAGGCAATGGCCCAACTGGTTCTCATGCCGTGAAAAACAGCACCAACATGTAACATGTACCACATTGCATCTGGAATCCTGCGTACAGACATATATCATCATATATCATATTTATTCATATTTATATGATTTTATATGCAAGCGTTGCAACCCGCATCTGATTTCTACAGCATTCCATGCCCAGTGGCCCGATCAAACTTCACCACCATACCTGGGAGGCCGCAAGTCACAAGACCGTTTGGTTCATGTCGGTGCTGTTCACCCCACAAAACCCGCCACAAATGCTGCATGTTTCATGTGGAGGTGGCCAGCAATGAGTTGGTTGAACCATGCAATGCATGAAAAATGTTTTGCCACGTGTTTCTCCTTCACCAAGGTGCATGTGACTTAGGACCCTTTGTAATAGAAGGGGTTAACTGGTTAACGGATTAACCACTTACATAACCTTTTTTTTCTAAGCAGCAAATGATGATCCTCAAAACCCCTCAGAGATGTAATATGTAGGCCGCTGATCACTTTGCCAAGGTGCGTAGACCGGTGCTCACCAAAAAGATAGGCATCGAAGCGAGCGCGCCCGACACGGCAAAATGCCTAGCAACGAAGGGACTGCCCAAGCTCCCCAGTTTCCAGCTTCTCCGGGTATCGTTGGAGAAAAAATGCATAAATTCATCTCAACCAGGACATGAATGATTACGAGTTACGAGTACTTAAATCATAATGAATCATAATGAATGAAGAAATGTGCAATTTTGAGCAATGGCTTGCCAACCCAACCCAACGCTAGCCTCCAAACACAAATGTTCCTCAGATTGGTGGCGAAAAAGAAAGACCAGCCAAGACATGCAAAGAACATCACAGAACATCCCAGAACAATCAGTTTCAATGCATACCTGCGGCCTCCAACAGGCAGAAATTTGGTGCTGAACTGGAATAGTAGCCTTTTCTGTGATCGGGCTGAAAAATAGCCTGACTGCCAATTCGGGCAAGAAATGCTATTCAGGCAAGAATTGCAATTTGACAAAGTAGGTCTAAAGACACCTTCCCCGAACAATCAGGGCTTGAATTTTCTCTTGCATGTGCAGTTCAGGCAAGTTTTGGAAAATTGTGTCAAAGCAAGCCGGGCGAGAATACCCGGAAAACAGGCGGGAATACCGGGAAACAGGCGAGAATTCGCGAGGAAAGGTTTTATCTACTGGCCATAGTTTGTTTTTTGCGGACTCGTTTGTCCAGGAATGGCGAAGCAGAAATGCGGAACAGTGAATCAAAACAAAAACGCACAAATTTCCCTACAGGCGAGGATTTAGGGTCAGGCGGGATTTCCAGGGTCAGGCAGAAAAATAGGTCAAAACACACTCGGGCTCAAATTTTAGCCTGCGGTGGCTATAGGTATAGCTGTGCTATACGTACGGTGCAGCTCATGATCAATGATATGTATATACTAAATATAGCCACAAACATCATCACAAAATCGCAAAATTATGCCGCTATCTTTTCCCTGAAACGGTCTCTCTGTCGTTTCTGCATGAAGCAGGTCTGCAAGAGTGGTTGACAAAAGGGAATCATCCCCCTTTTGCGGGCTCTCCTAGCATCTGCTAGCCAACCTAGTAACAACACCAAAAATATCCAATAAATTGGAATCATATACCAAGCTTCGGGTTGAGGTAATAACCTCAGGCAGAGAAAGTCTTGCTGGACATCAACCCAATGATTGGCGAGCAAACACAAATTACAGCATGGTTCCTTTCCAAATTTAAGGCACTAAGGACTAATATGCTTCCAAGGAACATGCTGAAGCCTCAAAACCTGAAGCAAGCCACAGCTAGACCCGGCAACAGGTCGTAGTTTCTGGGGAACAACTGGCACGATGACCTAGAATGATCTACAATCTCGAATGCCTGAAGGAAGCCAAGCCCTGAAGAAGAATGATTCCAGGCCACAAAGTGACATAGCTAAACGATGCTCAACGGCTAAGAATCCCAGAATCCCATGACACCCAAATCATCCAGGCCACCAGAAGGCCCTGCTGTCATCAATCGGATGGTATGATATGGTTGCGCCACTCCCACGTAGGTGGCGATGACGTTAAGGCCTTGAACGGTTCCCAACTGTTCCCAGTTTGGCTGACTGGGGCAAGGTTCATCTGACTGGATTTTCATCCAAGCCTTACCAGGTCTCTGCGGATATTTCCACCATATTGACTTAGCGCGGTCCACCCAAGATGAGTAGCTGCTGGGTGAGTTCTTTGTGCTGCAACACTCCAATCATGGAGTGGCTTATGAAAAGGGAAAATCTACAGGAATTTCATGGGGTTTCCAGACATCCGGTGACCCGGCCTTGAACGATGATCAAAAGGATGAAGGCAACGAGCTGCAGAAAACCTCAATCCAATGTTGAACATGGGCCACCAGGGGCCGATACACTTGGGGTCTCCAAAGGAATTTGAATAGAACTGTTGCGAACAGTTATATATAGTCATGGTTAGTCAATGTTCATCCATGTTTGAAAGCCGAGGTTTCGAACCTGTAAACTCGGCCTGCTTCAACGCCAAGGAGCCGTCAAGGGAACTGGGATGGATAGACATTCTCTTGCTCATGTCGAACAAATGGTCCTATGATGGTCTGATGCGTAGGAAGGCTGGGGTTCAAGGCTTCAAGGGAGCATGGTGATGCTGTGGCAAATAAAGTTGCATATGTTATGCACATATCATATAATCTACTATAATTCCATCAAAGCGGGGAGCATGATTTGGTCACAACTTGTCAATGCACATACAGTAGTAGACCACCAATGAACGAACCTGGGCTTCTTGTTGAATTCTATCAACAGAATGTAGTCAGTTCCATATTTGACAAGGATCAAAGGAGTTCTGCACCATGAGCCCTGCTACGACGCCCAGTGAAGCAAAGGCTGCAAGCCGTACGCTGAGCACACTGTCCTGCGCAACTTGAAAAAGTGGTACAAATGAGGTTTAATCATGCTAAGTGCAAGTGTTTGTGGGGCCAACATGCCTTGAATTCTTGAATTGCGTCATGCCATGCCAAACAATTACAGTATCGACCCTCAAGTCAAAACTTGTCCATTTCACTTCACGTGTCGCTTTCTTTCATGTTGAATTGTTTAGTTCAAGCTTCACACACACAAACATTTAAATTTATGCATGTTCCCATGCGAAAACAGCATAGATTTTAACCATAAAAATCAAAGACCATCCATATAGCAGGCCCCAGTGACTCAAACAAACATCAGTTTACCCAACGCACAGTACAAACTCAAGGTGGAACATATATTGACATATTATCCAATGATGGGTTTAAGATTATTTATTAAGCAGGTGTATGTGGAGGCAACTGACTGATGGAAAAGTAAATCAAAACGAATATACTCGATGCTCTCTGACCTGTCAATTCAATCCTTTTATTTTAGTTTAAAACACCTTGACGTTTCTGGAATCCATTCCCAAAGGTCCTGAAAGAAACGCGGATCGTTGGTGATTTCCATTGACTCTGAATGTGTGAGGCCGCCTGACGCAAACTCTTGCAGTGTCGAAACAGGCATAAGATAGCATGCAACGAAACACCAATTTACCTTAGTTGGCCCACACCATCCCACACTGTAAACCACCTCACCTACAGACTGCTGTCAGCGAACCCACAGATGGAAGAACATGGAAGAACTGAGCGCTGAAAAAAAAACAAAGCAACAAGTAAAGAAGAGAGGGGGATGATTAAGAAGCTTTCCACAAGGAAGGGAACACAAATTGTATAATCCCTTCCTCCTAATACTAAACGCCGCCCCCCCCCTATTACTAAACACGGCAGGTAGTTTTTAGTATTAGGGGAGTATTTATTATTAGGGAACCCTATTAATCAAATTAAACCCTTAATAATAAAAACTATTTTTTCCGATCTCAAAATCAATTAAATTTCTTTATATAACGAATTAAAATATTGCCAAAAATTGGATTTCGAAGCTTCCCCCTAATTTAAATTAAAACCCTTAATATAAAAAACTAAAAAAAACGGACGGACCCTAATAATAAACACCCCGGGGTGAACTAGTTTTTAGTATTAGGGGGGGAAACCCACAAATGGTAGGTTGATTTTTAAAATGTTTTCCAAAGGGGATCGATTAAAAATCAAATTGGCCAATCTGAAATTGTCTGAAATTGGAGATGGACGCCTAGTATTTGGGGGACGTTTAGTATTAGGAAGGGATTAATTCCCGGACTTAACCATCTTAACCTCAAAGCGAGTTGGATTCCACATGATTCCACCACTTATGGCATAAATTCAGGTGATTTCTTCCCTGGAATCTGTGATGGTCACTGATTTTTGTCGGTGCGCCTAGGCCAGTCTCTGCAATGCCAAGGCTGGAATATTCACCGCCATCGAGTCGAGGCACTGGCCAGTGACATTGTGATCTTCACATGCGCCGAGTAGTGATACACCCCCAAAATCCACCGACAATCCATGGCAAAAATCCATCAAAATCCATCAAAATTCATCAAAATTCATCAAAATCCATCAAAATTCATCAAAAATCCATCAAATCCATCCCAAAATCCATGGACATTTGGTGATTCCAAAGCGGCCAAGACACTTTCGTAGTCGTTCGGGCCTGGCACCAGTTGCATGCTGGTGTACCTGGCACTCATCCTGAGAGGGTTGGAGAGTTCAGCACGAAGGAATTCGTCAAGCCTATAGATCTATATAGAGAGAGAGAGAGAGTAAAATAGAAACTATACTCATACTATGTATGTATATATATATATATCATATATAATTATATATATATATACTGTACAACGGAATGATAGTACATTCAAATAAAGGATGGTACTCTTGGATACTCTTGGCATCTTTTGTTGCACGAGATACTTCTGGGGTTAACCTTGGTTAACTATCTTGAATTGCAAGGTGTCTTCAAGGGAGAGCAACTCTTGCGGCTGAGATGCCTTGCACAGGTCCCTCGAGCACTTCGCCCTGGGGCAATAGATGCGCGAAGCTTTCACGCACACAGCAGCCCCACCGCGCTTGAATGGCAAATCTCCGAAGGGCGACAGCGAGCGACGTTTCTGACATGTCTCAGGGTCTTCAACAATTCTACACCTGCCTAGTACCCCCTAAATGGCCCTACCCTCTGGTAAACTAACGTAACTATTGGAAATCACCATTTTTAATGGGAAAACTCACTATAAATGACCATTTTCAATAGCTATGTTAAATTACCAGAGGGTAAATTAAACAGCCACTGACTGAATTGGTTAGAATTGCTTGGAAGGACTCCCAGACCTGTCCTCCAACGCTGGCGCGGAGGTGCGGGCCGCGGTCACGGGCTGGGCCTCGCCTTTTTTTCGGATGAATTCATGACATATCCGCGAACGCGGGAGGCCCTTCGATCATCTCTCATAACTGTCATAACTGTCATAAGTCTAATTTCCAAAACTGGATTCTGGTATATTTAAGTGCTGATGCTTTCTACTAATATCATCCAGTATCCTAATTTAATATCTACTAATTACATTCTGGCCTCAGCAGATTGAACATGTATGGCTACGAATTGCCTATTTTTTAACTTGCCATTTGACCTTGATACTGTTCATAAAGCTTAGCAAAGCATCATGCTCCAGATTTCCCAGGACATGAGACAACATTGACAAACAGGTCCACCCCAACAGAGTACAAGCTCCAATCTGGGCACCAACCAAGCTTCCATGAGATGATACACGGCCCAAAAACGCATTGGCATTGCCTTTGAATTAGTGGTGCCATACAGTTCTAACTTCTACCACGCTGATGCTTCTGTTGCTCTTCATGCCTCACTGAGATGAATCTGACATGTGCAATGAAATTCTGGCCCTGCGTGTCCGCAGATTTTGACATGTACACCAAACACAGCAACCCACCATAATATACCATAATGTCATGGAAGAATATGGAAGATCTGTTGATGTTGGTAGAAGCCAGGACTTGCCAAACTCTGGTGCAGTTTTTGCACCTGGGTGAACTCCAGGATTTGCCGCTAGTGATCCAACTGCTCAGAGGCGCAGGGTGAACCCAAATTAAATGATCCAAAATCAGAAGATATCACAAGATATCACAAGCGCCAATTGTTCCTTCAAGCTCCGATGGAATGTCGTTGGTCTAAGCAAAGCAACCAACTCGTTTGTACCTGTTGGAGATGGACTTTTGCCTTAAGCGAAACATACGGGTTTGCTGCATGTCATTGCCAAACCCGTATGCTTTGCGGGAAGTCCACATTGAATTTCCGAAAGATCTCAATAAATCTCAATAATAGTACAGTAGTGAAATATAGTGAAATATCTCCCAACATCTCCTGACATCTCCTGACAACTGAGTCACACTGAGTCAATGGATCGTAATGGATGTCCCCCACTTTGCTGCTGGATTTCGAAGCTCGGTACTGCTTTGAGCCCGAGCTATTTTGGGAAGCGGCGCAGGACACGGAACCCACGGAACGTCTCACGCTTGCAGATGTGCCCTGGCGGCTGCAAATGGCAGGGTGTCAGAGTGTACAGATTATGGTGTTGAAGTGCAGAAAGTCTGTACCTGAATCAGAAATGTTGGAAATATGTTGAAATCATATGAATATCATATCGACATATGTTTTGATATGTTTTGACACACTTTGTCAGATCACGTTGGATCTTTTCGGATGGCCTGGAGACTCCACCAGACTCCCATCTCCTGCCTTCGGGATGTCATGGTATCCAAGACAGCGTGGTGCTGCACCAGGTTGGGCTTCAACAGCCTCCCGGTATCTCCCGGTATCTCCCAGGACCCGCTGTGCCGCTCCAAACGTAAAATGCTGCTAGAGATTGCTAGAGTGAGCCGCTCTTCAGTGTTTTACCATGATATCACCAGGAATAGGTGGTAGAAACTTTAACGATCCCCAAATGGTAGGAGTAGTTGTTATTGGGCTTGCCACATTATCAATGATTTCTTCCAGTATGTCAACTACAGCTAATTTCCGTTGCATCCCACATTGGCCACAGTGGAGGGCCTGTACCTTTCATCGAAGACCTTCCAGTGCTTGTTATGGATATACCCTGATAGCGCGAGAGGACCCTCATGACATGGTTGGGCTGGTGAAACTCATGAAGAATGACTCGAAATCCTAGGGCCAGCTGTTCTCGGTCCTAGGGAGGACTTCCAGACATGCAGTCCTGGCTCTGGTTCTTCAATATTC